TCTCAAAAAAAAAAAAAAAAAAAAAAGTTTATAAAAATAACTATTAAGGGAGTAAGTAGAAATTCAGCCTCTGGCTGGTGAGCCACGTACACCAATTTGGGAGCGGACCACACGGTCGCCCTGTGTCTAACTCTGTCCAGACAGTGCACCATGGGCTCTTCAGCCTTTCTCTGTCTCTGTTTTGGGATTCCTTTTTTCTCCTCCTGTGCTCCCAGAAATTATGTTTTCACCCTCCATGTGTTCTGTACCCTTCACTCAGTGTTTATACAAGAAGCAAGGTGATTGTCCAAGCAGCACAGGCATCCCAGTTAGGAAGAGCGGGAGTCAGGGGCTAAGGATGTGACTACGGAGGGTTAGGGATCTGGCTAGGGTGGGTTACGGATGGGGAGAGGGTTAGGGAGCCGGCTGGGTAGGGGTTAAGGATCTGGCTGGGAAGGGTTAGGGATCCAGCCAGGGAGAGGTTAGGGATCTGGCTGGAGGGAAAGAGTTAGGGATCCCGTTGGGGAGGGGTTAGAGATCCAGCTAAGGAAGGGATCAGGGATGGGGTTTGAGGGAATATCAGGAAGGCAGCGCCATGTGCTGACCTGCCACCACACTTGGGTTTAGAGCAGATGGAGTTGGATTTGTCCACATTGAGGTTTTGCCCGGAAGTGTGACAAAGGAAGCGAGGGACAGTAGAGTTAGAGTATGACCAAGAGAGTGGCTATAGGGTTTGTCTGGGGGATTTAAAGTGGGAAATGGAGGCAACGAGGAAGGAAAGGGCAGCTTGGGACAGTGAAGGATCCAGGATCACTGGCCTGAGGGCTGAAGGGGTTTAAGCCAGGGACCAGAGCTGGTGATCGGATGAGAGGGATGACCGGCACTAGGTGGTAGATGGTTCCTACTTCCTGCCAACACCCAAGCCAGAGTGTGAGAACAGGAGAAAAGCCGGAGGTGGGGCTGGGGAGCAGCAGGAGGAGCAGGGGCCCGGGTGTGCGTGGGACTGAGGTCTTGCTGCTGGCAGACTCCTTCCCTTCTCCTGAGTAACACAGCCGGGCTTGACTGAGGCCGGTCAGCCTGGCTGAAGCACGGCTCCCAGCTTCCCTTGCAGTGCACTGGGGCTTGGGGGTGATATTTAAAGAGAGGCCTTGCTGCCTCTGCTTCTTTCCCCCACGCTGAGCACCCTGGGAAGACAGAAATCCAGAAGCCCACCTCAGGCCTGTGTGTACCTATGACAGGAAGCAGCTCTGTCTTCAGCTAGTTACAGAGGCTCTTTGCACATGAAGTTGGTCTTATTCCTAACAGACTCAAGGACAGTTCTAGAAACTGGATTACTGGCTCAGGGTGGACATGAGCAGGCGCACGATTCAGGGCAGCTTCCACCACGCACGCTGCAGGCTGCTCCTGCTGGATCAAGGTCCACCGCTGCTGCTCTCGGGAAGCCCTGTCAAGCCCTTCCCTACCTCACCCCTCTCAGAGTAACCTTTACTCTGCTGCCACCAGACATCACTTTTGCCTGTTTCTCACTCTGCTCCCGCCCTAGGGAATGAGCCCAGGGCTTTCACACTGAGCTATATCCCCATCCTTTTTTTATTTTTTAACTTTGAGCCAGGGATTCACTAAGTCATTAAACTGGCCAGGTTGGGCTCCAACTCTTCATCCTACTGCCTTAGCCTCCTAGATGCTGGAATTATAGCCATGTGCCACCATGCCTGTCTTGTTTATTCACTTTATATAAGTGGAATAAAACACTGTATACTTTATCTTGCTAGGGTGCAGGAAAGGTTAGGAAGACAGCGCCATGAATTTTATATTTACCAAGTGCATTAACATTGTGGGTACCTGTAGCTTGCTATTTTTTGTTGCTATGCATTCATCCACGGTATGACTATTTATTTGTTCATCAGGGCAATGGATGATGGATCCTTGATTTGGGGCCATTGTGAATATCATTGACATTCATGTCTTATACATGGCTTTGTTTTTCAGTACTGGGAATTGAATCCAGAACCTCAAGCATGTTAGGCAAGCACTCCTTCACTGCGCTACATCCACAACGCTTTTTTTTTTGTTTGTTTGTTTTCCGGTACCGGGAATCAAACTCACAACCTTGCACTTGCCAGGCAGGCGCTGTGCCACTGAGCTAAATCCCCAGCCCCCATTCACAACACTTTTAAATTTTTCTCTTTTTTCTAAATTTTCTCCTTTCATTCTTTTTCTTATTTCTCTATACTCTTTTTTATTTTGTTTATTTACGTCTTTATCTTGAGACAGGGTCTTGCTGAGTTGCTCAGATTGACCTTAAGGTTGTGATCTTCCTGCTTCAGCCCACTGAGCAGCTGGGATTACAGGCATGTGTCACCACACCCAGCTTGTACGTGGCTGTCATTGCACATGCATGTTTTCTAGGGGTAAAGGTGTCCTCATAGCTGCTTTAGG